GGGTGGGTGTGTCAGCATAAATATCATGAAGAAGCAAGATATCAAGTAACTTGCTCTGTAAAGCCTTTCTGAATTACGAAGTGTCTCAAAAGACTATAGTCCACACAGASCACATTACAGCATCATAATTAATTAATTACAGAAATTCCAAAAAAATCCAAGTGTTTTTATGATCATTTTATACCATGCCCAAAATATCCCACGCCTTACAAGTAAAAAAGTCTTGTTACGCCGAACAGCGTACCATTATATCCGAAAAACTCGTTAAAAATAAAAAGTGGGAGTAACACGGAGGGTAACCATTGTTTGAAAGCACTATAAGAAGCAGACAACTAATATATGAGTTATACACACTTGATGTCAAATTTATTCTTTTGTAATTTTTATGATGCAAAAGGAAGTCCAAAGAAAAAATTTGAGCTCAATGGCGGAGAACACGATCAATACCTCGGTGTATCGTACCAGTGTACTAGTACACTGGTACGATAGTACACTTGTACGCTAGTGAACTAGTACGGTAGTACATTAGTATAGCACGCTAGTACAATAGTACACTGGTACAATAGTACACTGGCCATGGTACGCTAGTACACTGGCACGCTGGTATGCTAATACCACAGTACACTAGTACGCTAGTACTTCAGTAACCTGGAACGGTAGAGGGTTAATATACTAGTCCGCTGATACGCTAGTACGACATAACGCTTGCGTGCACTAGTGCGATAGAACGCTTAGTAAGGAAGAACATTAGAAAGAGGGAACGATAGTACTCTAGTATGCTGTTGCTGACAATAGAACGCTAGTACTCCAGTACGCTAGTACGACATAACATTTGTGCGCTACTGCAGTATGCGGATAAAGTCGTTCGGCTAGCACGGTGGTAGGCCAGAACGCCAGAACTAGAGGACTTAACATTATAAAGCGCAGCGGACGTAAGAACGTTAGACGCCGTACCAAGAGAAGAATGGACGACAGCGAAGGATATAACAAGCACCATATGGATCATTTTGTTTCTGATAAACACAATAAGAATAAAGTCAAGTTTATTAACTTTTCTTCCATGTATATCGTTATGTCGGTCTCGTCAGGTCGCCCTCTGAACCAGGCTGTCTGGCTCTCCCACAACGTAATATCATGATAATATTCACAGCATAGCATGAGATGTTTGTACGATGGCATCATCATATTCACTGTTCCACGATAATATTGCATCGGAATTCTTTGTATCACAACCCAGCGTTGCAAAACTCAGAGAGAGTGTGGGCTTTTCTGAGCCGTCAATCATGCATCTGACGTCTGTGAAGCGTAGCTTCGAACAAGGTGGTCTCGTTCAATTCGTTGAACTTTCAAAAAAAAAAA